AAAGATTCACAAGAAAATGCCAACACTGTATTCTACCAAAGGTCTCAACAGCAGTCAATGTGTCCCCTGGAGTCAGACAACGTGGCAGCCTTTAGCAGTGGCCGCTGGGATGCGAACCAGGTGTTCGGCGACAGAAGCTGCAGGAATAATTTTTGTGGTGTACCACTGTGACATAAGAAATATACATTTGATGTCTGCCCCCAGTTCCTGACAGAGAGCTCCGAAATCACTTGGAATTTCCTGGGTGATAGGCATATCTTTTGTTCTAAGGAGGTGACTCTGGGTGGGCTCCCTGATGGTTTGTGGATGAGGGCTGGTCATGAGAAAGACCTGCCATGATCAGAAGCTTTGAACTTTCAGCCCCGCACCCCCATCCTCTGAGAAAGGAGAGGGGCTAGAAATTGGGCTAATCATCCATCACACCTACGTGAGGAAGCCTAAACAAAAATCCCTAAGGTACAGGGTTCAGAGAGATTCCAGGTTGGCAGGCACATGCATGAGTAGGGAGCAAAGCATACCGTAATTCCAAGGGGACAGAAGCTCCTGGGCTCAGGGCCCCTCCAGACCTCCTAGCATGTATCCCCTCATCTGGCTTTATACCCATACCCTTTACCATGTGCTTTATTAAATAATAAACCAATAAACATAAGCGTTTGAGTTCTGTTAGCCATTACAGAAAATTATCTAACCTGAAGACCTACTACTTGTGACTGGCATCCAAAGTGGGGACAGTATTGTGGGAATGAGCCCTTAAGCTGTGAAATGTGATGTTAACTCTGGGTAGACAATGTCAGAATTGAGTTGAACTGTAGGACATTCAGCTGGTGTCTTCATGAAGGAACAGGAAGGAGCAGGGCAACTTGAGGCCAGAAAGCAGCCCAGAAACACAAATCAGCTGGTCCAGGAACAGGCAAGAGGTAGGCCTTCGGAGTTTCCCCAAACGAGAAGGTCATGTCTGGAATTTATTTTTATTTTTTTTTTTGAATTAATTAAGTGCTACATTTATTCATTTATTTATTTATTAAGATCTATGCTCAACATGGGGCTTGAAATCACGATCCAGAGATCAAGGTCACATGCTTTACCAACTTTGCTAGGCAGGTGCCCCTATGTTTGGAATTTATATTTTTTAAGATTTATGTATTTATTTTAGGGGGAGAGAAAGGGTGGACGGGAGGGGGCAGAGGGAGAAGGAGAGAGAGAGAATCCTCAGGCCAACGCCCCACTGAGTGCGGAGCCCCACGCAGTGCTCAATCCCAGGACCTCAGATCATGATCTGATCACGATCTGGAAACCAAGAGTTGAATGCCTAACCGACTGAGCCACGTAGGCGCCCCTGTTTGGAATTTATTTTAAAATATGAGGCAACACTAGAGGATTTTAAGCAGAGGCACGGTACAATTAGATTTATTTTAATACATAATAAGATGAAAACTGGATTGGAGAAGGAGATGTGTGAACAAGACACCACTGCAACATCTGAGGGAGACATGTCAGTTACTGACCAAGAGACACAGACACACCAAAAAGACGCTCCTGTGCTAGATCACAAAGGACTCAGGAACAGATCCAATTTGAAAGTAAGGGACAGAAGGTGATTTAGATCAGTGGTTCTCAAGTTTTCATGGCACCTTGTAGACCTGTTAAAAATGTAAGTTGTTGGGCCTGCGCTCAGAGCTTCTGGTCCTGAAGGTCTAAAGTATAGAGATGATGCCACCTGAATTTTAAATTAGCAATTCACACACTGATAGATCTCCTGCCACATTTTGGGATGCACTCATTTAAACAACTCCCAACCTTCTGGCTTATGTCAGACAGTGGGTGAAGTTGGGACAGGGACACCATTTATGGGAAAAGAGAACAATGTGGGAAATGGAAGCCGTGAGGGGCACAGGAACAAAGATGGACTCTGTTGGGCACGTGCTATGTCTAGAGTTTGGGCTACTTCTGTAGGGTTGCCTGAATGGTCTTTCTGATGGAAGCAGTTCATCAGCTAAACGTCAAGTGTGCCTCCTAAACGTGATTTGATGTAGAATGCTTTGAGGCTTCCAAGCACGTCAGAAGCCTATGTTGACAGTGACCCCGGCCCTGGCTGCCTCTCTGAGGGTACCCTCCCCCTGCCCAGATCACTCAGCCCCAGCCATACTGTCTTTTTCCTTTTGATACCATTGTGGCTTGCTCCCTCACTATATTCAGGTCTCTGCTAAACTATCTAAAATAGTAATTTCCTTTCTTAAAAATTTATTAAATAGATTTAATCTTTTAGAGCAGTTTTTAGGTCCACAGTAAAACTGAGAAGGTACATCGATTTCCCATTTCTTTCTTAGCAACTCTGGTGCTGCAAGGTACTCCAGGCTCATCTTGTATGTTCGTGCCTCAGTCCTGGAATCAGCCATTTCTTCAAGGAGCCTGGTTTCCTTTATGGCAGAAGGTGACAGAAGCCAAGAACTGGGGGCACCTGGGTGGCTCAGTCGGTTAAGCATCCGACTCTTGATTTCGGCTCAGGTCATGATCTCGGGGTCATGGGATTGAGTGAGTCCTGTGCTCAGCTCTGAGTCTGCTTGAGATTCTCTTTCCGTCTCCCTCTGCTCCTGCCCCCGGCACGCACACACACACTCTCTCTCAAATAAATACATAAAATCTTAAAAAAGAAGCAGCAGCAGCCAAGATCTGGGTGCTGGGTATTTGCTCTATGCCCTCCCAGCCGACTGAGCCAGGAGACAGGTGTGGGTACACCGGCCCATGCACACACACATCTACAGACATTTCTAGATGGAGCCACCTGTGCTGTGTTAAGCTGAACATGGGTTCATACTGATGTCTCCAGCTCTGGCCCGTCGCCATGTGCGTCATTCCGGCTGTCTCCCCTTGCTTATCTGTAACCTCCCTGCAGCGGTGAGACACCTGGCTCCCCCACCCGCCACCCAGCTGTGTCACCGCTCTGTGGGAGCGCGGGTGCGCAGGAGGGTCAGAACTGCTGACCTGTGCCCGTGCTCACTCATTTTGATCCCCCCTACCTTGCTTCATTCTTCTCCACTGCATTCTGAACCACTTCATATGTTTATTTTCTGTTTTGTTTTCCTGTTCCATGACAATAAAAACTTGTGTTGCTGAGTCTCCAGCACTTAAAACTGCCTTGAACAAATCAGGTGCTAAAAAATATTAGCTGAATGAGTATAAAGAAAAAATCCCTGATTACCACAATTAGGCAGATCTCAGTCTGGCCTTTCTCCACCGACACTATTCAGTTATGAAGGTACTGTATCTACTTCAATCAAATTATCACCATAGAATAGAATTTATTAGACTTTCCATCAATTCAATGGACTTCTCTCTTTGACTGCTGCAATTATACCCACCGAACTGAAACACTGAACTATCACAGTCACTTACAGCTTCTACTTTTCCTATAAGGTCTGATGTGAACCAACACTCCTCTTACTACCCCACCTCCCAACCTAAACCTCCTGGACACCGTCCACCTCTTTCAAATTTCCTAGACACGAGTGACTCTAGGTGCTCTAGCTATATTGATAAATATTCTTTCCACATGTGTTAGGAACATGAACAACATAATCACGATCACAAGTTCAAATCACAGTGTTAAATGAAGAATTATATGAAAATTAAGCTTTTGATTTCAAGTTTATCTTCCATAAGAACTCTGAGGGCACATAAAACTAAATTCTTGGAAAAATTACACAGATTTGCTCTCTCTTCCTTAGTATGGAAGCCTGAGGTTCAAGAACAAAGACTAATAGGAAACATATGGAAAAGATCAGCAACAAGATGAAATCTTGGCCCAAATACAGTCTGCCATGTTTCACATACCAGTGTCTCAAATAATAGACGAGATTTTTACAGTACTGCCAACCATCACTTGAAACACAGCACGTTTTTAAAAAACCTGAAGTATAACAAAATAAACCCTGTGATTTCCTTGTAAAAATCTAATGGTAAACACTATCTGAGGACACAAAAACAAATTCTGGGATTCACTTTACCTTATTAGTTTGTACAAACTTTAAAAGAGTCTTCCAAAGCATGAACTAAAAGTTCACTGCCAAGAAATACAAGTTAACTCTCTTTTTAAAATAAAAAAACACGCTAGGAAAAAAATGTAGCATTTAAGCAGTTAACCACTATTCCTCAGGAGAAACAACTCAGTGAAGAGATTTTCTACATCTACAAAATAAAGGAAACAGAAGTTCCTAATGCCATTTTAGTCAATACTATAAAGTTATTTTTTGTACTAACCTAAAGAGGCAAATCAGAGATCTACCTTCCGAGTGCAAGATACTAAATTATATCACCAGATTAATTTTTTTCAGAGGTTTATAGCAGGCATTCTAGTGCCTCTATTTGGGAGGAAGGGGAGAACAGTGAAAGCGAACAGAAAAGAAGGTATAATTCTTTGTGTGGAAAGGTTATATATTCAATCTGTGTCACTAATGACAAGTCCCTTCGTTTAAAAAGTAAACTAGAGGGGCGCCTGGGTGGCTCAGTCGGTGAGGAACTGCCTTCAGCTCAAGTCAGGATCTTGGGGTCCCAGGATCCAGCCCTGTGTAGTTGGGCTCCTTGCTTCCCTGCTCAGAGGGGGAGCGTGCTTCTCCCTCTCCCTCTGCCCCTCCCCCTGCTCGTGCTCTCTCTCTCTCAAATCAATAAAATCTTAAAAAAGAAAAAAAAAAGGTAAACTAGATGTGCAAGCTGTATTTCTAATCTTGGTTGCTCGTCTTCAATAAAGGAAAGCCCTGGTGTGAACGTGAGGTTTCAGACAAGGGACATTTCAAGACCACTCTTGAATTCCACCTTAAATTGCTGAGACACTGAGCTCCAAGTTACAGGCGACCTTAATTTGGAGAATTCTTTGGTATGAAAATGAAAATAAAAACAGTAATCAGTACATGCTGTTTCATTTAGTTCTGTTTGCCTTTCATATTAGAGGAAATTCTTGCCACACCTCAAACCAAAATTAAGGGGAAAAGAAAGGGAAGTAAGCCACATAAATCTGACCAACAGCACAAGCATCTCAATTTGAATCCACAAAGTTTTGGATAATGAAAAGAAATACATAATTTTAATTCAACCCAAGTGTTTTCCAAGCAGATTATATTTGCTTAAATTGCTACAGTAATTCAAGGACAGCCTTGTCTGGACACACAGTTACTGTGGATTTTTAAGAGACTCAGTTAAAGAATTTAGGAATATCTGAATCAGTTTACAGGATTTGCAAATTCATCAACCCCTGAAAACTAAAGCAAACTCAACAGGTATGATGATAAAATAATTTTCAATTTTTTTAAGAAACTGTTCCTACTGTTAAAACCTTTTAAGTATATTTGATTTGTTTAACATTAAAATAGATCATAAAAGCACAATATTTGGAGGCAATATCTGATAAAAGCTACATTAAAATTTGATTAGTAAAAATATTCAGAGAAAGCAGTAATATAGTGATTTTAATTTCCTAATTTAAGATTTACCCAATAAAAAATCTTTGTTTAGATTTCTTTTCAATTCAGAATGAAAGATTCTTACGTTAATGGCATCACTTTGTCTCCTCTCTCACTCTCAACTTTAAATGACAAAAAGTGCCAAATGCCTGTGAGCCATACATCTGGGCAGGGTGACAGATTCTGCTTGTAGGGAAGAAGGATATTTGTACCGATTTCACTAGAAATTTTCTTAAAATTTCTCTGTCGACCAAATCCCTGATAGTAACATGTTTTTGCTTTCATTTGCCTCTTTCTGAAAGGGAAGATGTGAGTTCTCTATCTGGTACTAAAGGAAACAGTTTCTTGGGTTCCAGTTAACTAAGATTTAAATGTATTATGGCTAAAAATAATTTTTGAAACTTTCATATTTTTAATAGTAAAAGAGTGTTACTTCCTTAGGCCCTGGGTGTAAGATAGGGATGTACACTACTTTACTTTATTTACAGAGTTAAATTTAAAACTGCTTCGGAAAGAAATCTGAGTCCATATACTAATACTCTGGTTTCTTATATCCGAGTTTCTATGGCATATCCATAATATAATTGAGTCTTTAAAATAATAAAATGCAATGAGGCTTTCCAATTATTTTAAACTTTCCAGAACAAAGTTCGCTCTCATTTTAGTTAGAACTTCCTTATGAAGGCTCAAGTGCTTATTCCCAACTAAGAGAAATGTTACAACATAGAAACATTTAGAGCTATAAGATGAAAAATTCACATTAATGGATATTTTTAAAAATCAGTAACATATATTTTCCTTTGCTTTAAAGATTCCTGTTCACATCTGTTATTTTTCTATCACTCTGTAATGGTAATAGTGTGCTGTGATGGGGGACACCACTAGGAGAGAACAGCCATGTCGTCTGTGACTGTGTCCATTTAAAGAAACCACTGCGGCAAAATAACGCCTAGAAATAATCAGCATTAGAAGCGACAAGCATTGATGACAGGATGTACTCTGTCGTTTATTAATCCAATCACTCATTCAACAAACGTTTGAGCGCCTACACGCTGTGCATTGTACGGACTCTGCCAGAAATCAGGTCAGGAAGTGGGAGGACTGACAGTGAGCGTACTGTTTTGCTAGGAGCTACCCTATAGAGAATGAGGCATACACTGCGGACCATGAAAGGCAGAAGTAATAAAAATGTGCTTTGCAAATGGCTGGGAAGAAATCAGTTGAATGGAAAGTTTGGATAAGAAGAAGAGGTCATTACAACAGGGAAACTCACCAGGGGTGAAGCTGGAGACTGACGAATAGGAAACAATGGGCCTGGGGATGGACACAGGGTTGATTTCAGACCAGAAAACTGGACTTAGTCAAAGGAAGTGGGATCAGGCTGGGCGGCAGAGCCAAGGTCCTCAGGGGATGATTCACAGAGAAACTGTCCTTAGGAAAAGCCTGTCTTCATAGGTGGCCAGAAGACCAAAAGCGGCCAACACTAAAGAATCCCTTTATTTTCAGGGAGACTCCCATAATGAGGTCTCGATCCCAAGTCAAAGGGATGCACTTAAGTGCAGGATCAAAAGTATCACCCAGGTCTCCTTTTCCCCCAATAATTTCTCATAATTGTTGAATAGAGTCATGACTTTCATTCTCAAATGTAAGGTTACTAATCGATTATTGCTACTGTTCTTAATACAAGGATGAAATTCAGAGCTCTGATAAGCAATGCTCATTTCAGAGTTCATCTGTGTAACAGTCAGCTTCTGAGACTCTCTCCATGTCTAACCACCCCCCCACCCCCGCAGCTGTAGGTCTCCATCCTTCTGCTTCTACGCATGCCTTTGTGAGACATAGCAACCTTATAGTGGAACCCCGTGGTGCAGTGAGACTGAAGTGAAGTAGGACATGTAGTTTAAAAAGTTAATATGCTCCACTATAATGGTACCATAAATACTACAGATTTAACACATAAAATATTATCAACTAGTGAGTAAAATGTATAGGATGTTTTATACCCATTCCTGCTAATCTCCCAAGATCTGGACCAAATGATACTACAAAGACTTCCCTGTCTGCCCCAAGCAGGGTTAAGCCACTGAACCCACGGCACTGGGGTCCCGGTGGTAAACCTTATTTGTCTGAGAATATGGTTTGCCATGTTGGGTCTCTCCCATACTGACAGAGTATAAAGATAAAAAGGGCAGAGGGTCTGGGGCCTGTGCAAATAAGTGACAATAGTGATGGGCTGTGGGGTCCAGGACACTGAGAGGAACTGAGTGCACTGGGAGGTACAAATGAAGGGCAGTGAAAAGCAAAGACCCACTCTTTACAGAGAGGACCACATCTTCACATCTTCATCTCTGTGTTCCCCACCAAATACAGTACCTCACCCCCAGAAGTAACTGCAGTCCATTAACTGAAATAACCAAACTAACTACTTGTAAGGTAGCTGACTAGCCATGTTCACACACAACGTCTAGTACAGTTCACTAAGGCAGCAGACCCAATGAGAGCTTCCCGGCATGCTGGGTTAGCCAGTACTGAAGGTTACTGTCCTTTGGGGTGAGACCACACTCCCTCCAGGATTTTCTCCTACTTCACCCACGACCAATGCAGTGCGAAGATCATGGCTCAACTACCTTAATGAATTAAAGTAGGTGCAGGAGTGCAGATTCCACAGGTCAGAATTCAGGACCTCTAGATTCTGGTCCAGATTAGCTGTGACAGTCTTATTTTGCTCCTTCAACAGCTAACCACGAACTCCCAAACACCCTACTCTCTGTTGCTTACATGTGTTGCTCATCTCTTCTATCTGGAAATCTTCCCAGTCCCCCTCTATGAGAGCCCTAATACTCCTTCAAAGCCTAGTTCAAATGTCACATCCTCCATGAATCTCACGGATACTAAAGGAACAATGCATGTAGTCTACTTAGATTTGTATAAGAAAACTATGAGTTTCAAAATCACAGGTTGTTTTAAAAGATCAAACCGTTGCTATTTTGATATATTCTGTCGGTAGGGATGAGATTAAATGTAACAAAACATATATATGAGTCAATCATCGTTTTGTTTGATCCTATCTTCTTGGTCAAAAAAAAAAAAAGGGCAGCAGCAGCATGGTCATCATCCCAACTGGTGGGGAATAAGGCTTCAGAGGCTTGTCTAAAAGCAAGGGAAAGGAATGCAGTAAGGACATGTCCTTGAGCAGCAATGAGTGGTCATGAATTTAAAGTGAGACCAGCTGGCGTGGTCTGTTTTCTCTTAGTCTGCTGTGTGAGTCAGGCTGCATGTAGACAGACAACTGAAGGAACAGGGTTGGAGTTTACTGATAGAGTATAAAGATAAAAAGGGCAAGAGGGTCTGGGGCCTGTGCAAATAAGTGACAATAGTGATGGGCTGTGGGGTCCGGGCCACTGAGAGGAACTGAGTGCACTGGGAGGTACAAATGGGGGGCAGTGAAAACACAGTGGGATCCACATATTTAGGTCCCAGTGAAACTGAGGAATTACTACAGTTGGAGCTACTATGTAGATTAAGTTATAAACACAGGTTAGGGTGTGAAAGAGCTGCACGCTGGTAACGACAAGGCCCATGCTCTGGGCGCACGGGAGGGAAGAAAAGATCCAAGGGTCCCTGACTCTACTCAAATATCGATTCCAAATCCCACATTAACACATAATTACATTCTACACATTTTTTAGTTTCTGACAAGAAAATAAACAAGAATCTAAGATGTTAGGCTCTAGGGCAGACTTTCTCAAATGGGGTCTGTCATAGACAATGATTTAGATAAATATTTTTTCACTTATCCCAATGATGAAAAATAGCTGGTACTACTCTAATGGCTAATGGAATAGAGATCAGTCAGTTCAAGACACACAAGGACATGTTACATTAATTCTCATGAAACCCTGAATCAGAGAGGTAGAGAAAAATAGCCTCAGAATCAAAGAGGTATGATTCTTTTTTTTTTCCCCCTTTTAACCTTTACCTAAATAACAAACTTATTCCATCTGGATCACTTTCTAATCTGCAAAGAACTTTTACATGCATATCTCCCGTGACTGTCACAACCACCAGCTGAGGTAAGCAGGCAAGCAATTACATTTCTCATTTTCTTGATGAGGCAAGAGGCAGACATGGTAAGTGGTTTGACCATCCTAAGTGACAGGTGGGAAGTCACGGTCTTCAGGCTCCTCATCCAGTACACCATCCACCACTCACAACTCCAAGTGAATGGTCTTCCTCAAGCTGAGTGCCCCCTCTTTAAATCGTACCCCTTACACACCCTCCTACCCCCTGTACTGTGCCTGTCTTTCTGATTCTCCACCAGACCTCATCTCCTGAGAGACAAGACAATACGTTCTCAGTATCTGTTTTTCTAGGACTTAACTCAAAAATATTAATGTAAAGAAAGAAAAATGTATAGAATAACCTATTAGAAGCTAAAAGTTTGTAGACAGTAAATATTGTGTGTATTTGGAATTTGAGGCAGTTATTCAAGTGGAGTCAGAGACAAAATAATTGGATTCCGGAAACGGTTTCATTGGGGAAAATCTGAAGTCATGGTTAGGCTTGGACAGAAACACTAAGAAGAAAGATGATTGCTATTTTTAATATCTCAAGCTCTTACATAAAAGGGAATGTTTCATGCTTTTCCAAGGGCAGAAAAGAGCATCGACAAACAGAAGCTGCAGTGGGAAAATGTGTGTTAATATTAACTAGGACCAAGAATGTCTCCTCTCATAGGTAATGACCATCACTGAAGGGACCAAATAGTTAGTGGAACACTCAGCATTTTTAGTGGAGGGAGTACCCAGCTTTGGGGTTGAGAGAGGTCAAGTTATCACTGTAAATCTATAGTAAGCAAGACAAACTAGGATTCTCTTCAAAGATGGGTATATAGTCTGGTTCAATGCAAAACGTGACTTTTTTTTTTAATACCATCTTATTGGCACTTAAACATTAATTTTGGTTTGAGCATTGCCCATTTATTCTGGACATTCTTTTATATATTTCAATACAGATATAGATATTATGCATTTTAAGTAACTGTTAATTACAGAAAAATTACTCTAGGATTTACTCACTTCTCCCACAATATATTTGCTTCCTCCTTGTAATAGGACAAAAAAAGAACATGGGCTTTTTAAGTCCAGCATGTGTCCTTTTCCTCTTTTTTGGAGTCAAAGTATATTGCCAATATGAAAATTATCAATGGGATGAAGATTATGATCAAGACCCAGATGATGTCTACCAACCAGAATTCCAATTTCATCCAAATGAGGACTTTCAAGTTCCTTTTCATCAGCATGTGTTAGGCTGTGCCACTGAATGCTTCTGTCCACCCAACTTTCCATCATCAATGTACTGTGAAAATCGAAAACTCAAGACTATCCCGCGTGTCCCAGCACACATACAGCAGGTCTACCTTCAATTCAATGAAATTGAGGCTGTGACTGCAGATTCATTCATCAATGCAACTCATCTTAAGGAAATCAACCTCAGCCACAACAAAATTACAACTCAAAAGATTGATCATGGTGTGTTTGCTAAATTGTCAAATCTACTACAACTTCACCTGCAGCATAACAATCTAGAAGAATTTCCATTTCCTCTCCCTAAGTCTTTGGAAAGACTTCTTCTTGGCTACAATGAGATCTCCAGGTTGCAGACGAATGCCATGGATGGGCTAGTAAACTTGACAATGCTTGATCTCTGTTATAATCATCTTGAGGATTCCATGTTACAAGAAAAGATACTTGCCAAAATGGAAAAATTAATGCAGCTCAACCTATGTAATAACAGATTAGAATCAATGCCTCCTGGTCTGCCTTCTTCGCTTATGTACCTGTCTTTAGAAAATAATTCAATTTCTTCTATACCAGAAAATTACTTCAATGAACTTCCCAAACTTCAGGCTCTACGAATGTCACACAACAAACTACAAGACATCCCATATAACATTTTTAATCTTTCCAACCTTATAGAGCTCAATGTTGGACACAACAAACTGAAGCAAGCATTCTATATTCCAAGAAATTTACAACACCTATACTTAGAAAATAATGAAATTGAAAGTACGTAAAATTTCATTATCTTTTTTAAAGACCAAAAGAATAGTATGTTGACCTTTTAAAATGTTTTTGAAGATTTTTATTTATTTGAGAGAGAGAGACAGCGAGAGTGAGCATGAGTGAGGAGGAGAGAGAGAGAAGCAGACTCCCCGCCAAGCAGAGAGCCCAATGCAGGACTCAATCTGAGGACCCTGGGATCATGACCTGAGCCCAGACTGAGCCACCCAGGTGCCCTATGCTGACCTTTTAAAGAATCAATCTTTGAAAAAAATCTATGCTTTACATAAAAATAGTTGATTTGAAGTAGCTAGGGAAATGGTCAAAGCTGGCCTCAGGAAGGTGTGCTATAAAGTTTTATTTTCTTTCTTTTTTTGTTTTTAGATTTTATTTATTTGACACAGAGAGAGAGTGAGCACAAGCAGGGGAAGCAGGAGAGCTTAACTGTCTGAGCCACCCAGGCATCCAAGTTTATAGCCTTTTCTTTCTTTTTTTTTTAAGTTTTATAGTCTTTTCTAATAAATGTTATCACCTTGAACATTGACAAGTAGTACTGCAGAGTATATGAAAAAGTAGGAGTATCCTGAGCAGTTGGGACTATAGGTGATTTTTACTTTTTTCTTTTTGAGATTTCTACCAAGAATTTATTATGTAACAAACAGATAGCCAACAAAGCCATCATGTTTTCTTTATTTTAATTCCAGTATAGTTAGCACATAGTGCTGTGTGAGTCCCAGGTGGACAATACAGTGACTCAGCACTCCCACACATCACCCGGTGCTCATCAGGACAGGTGCGCTCTGAAAGCCATCATTTACTTTGAACATATAACTCATCTGTAGTTTCATTTTCTTCAATTTATTATTTGATTACTGTAAAAACCAATTAAACCTAATTCTACCTATAAGTACTTTAATAAGATGTATCTCATATTTTAATAAAATCCAATGTAGGATTCTAGATGTAATGCAGCAGGATTAATCTTTAATTTGTATTTTTCAGATATCAATGTTACAGTGATGTGTCCATCTGTTGACCCACTGCATTACCACCACTTAACGTACATTCGTATGGACCAAAATAAGTTAAAAGAGCCAATAAGCTCATATGTTTCCCTCTGCTTCCCTCATATACACACTATTTATTATGGTGAGCAAAGAAGCACTAATGGTCAAACAATACAACTGAAGACCCAAGTTTTCAGGAGATTTCAGGATGATGCTGATAGTGAAGAACATGATGATCACCAAGAAAGTCCAGAACAAGAAGCAACAGAAGAAAATACTGACCCTCACTACTATGGAAGTCAAGAATGGCAAGAAACAATATAGGTATACATTTACGATTTTATACAATATTATTATTCAATATTAATTTAATTAAACACGGAAGGCTAACAGTAATGTATCTAGAATCATGTATAAGATCAGACTGAATTTAAATTGTTAACATTTGCATCATTACATAGGATTCAAACTTACTTAAAATGATATGTCTTTAGAAATATAAATTAGAATAACAAGTGGGAATGAAAAACTAAACTTTAAACATAAAGTATTATCAAGCTGAGGAAAAAAGCAAGTATGCCATTGCTAGTGATATTAACTGTTCTAAGAGTGATGAAAGCAGCAGCGCTAGAAGCCAAGAACTAGAGGAGGTCAGGGCTGAGATGCCCAGGCTTACGTTCCTGTAACGCGCAGCCATTCACTTAGGAGTCAATTACTTTCTTTGACCTGATCTCCAGAAAAGCTTTCACACTTGTATGTGAAATCTTATCACCATGACATCCACCTCCCATCCACCATCCCCACCTACCACTGAGAGCAACAGAGGATGCTTCTGATTTTCAAAAGAGGTCATTCTGCTAAGGATCCAAGACTTGTAGTTTCATGAAATCAGTAGGTCTTTGTATTTCTTTCAGAGCACCAAAACAACAAAATCTAAAACCTGTATTTGGGTAATTAAAAACCACCAAATTGTCTCATCACAATCCATATTTTAGCAGATTTCAGCAATTGTTCAAAACAATTTTAACTGAGATAAATGTTTTTATAGTAAACTCACTAGGGAAAGTTTTTTGTTGTTGTAGTTACATAGAGATTTGCTAATAAATAACTGCTTTGCTCACAAGGTTAATTTAGCACACAACAATATACCAGCTTTATTAAAACACTTCCATTTTCCTAGCACAATATAGTAGAAACATATGTGTACCAGCCAGTATTTATTTAATTAGTGCTAAAGCTGAATAGAGTTCCTTTATAATTTGGACAAGCTTTGATATCTTCTTTAAAACCTTAGATGCACCTATTATTTAATCTATCATTTTGAAGTATTTTAAGTATGCCTTGTAATGAAGGTGATGGAAGTTCTGTGATGAGCTCTCCTGACTTACCAGCTGACATTCACAGAGCTCCTCAGATGAGGAAGAGAGACGGGGCGACCTACACAGGGAACCCAAACAATAAACATTAACAATGTGGACTACAGGCCAGGACCAGACAAGTAAAACTTTACCGTAAGAGTTTTCAACTGGTGAGTCTTTATTTTGCTGGAGATAAAGTGTAAAATGAAGCCCCTAATGCTCTTTAGTTCTTTGAGTAAGTTATTAGCATTAGCAGAAACAAAACACCTACCTGACCCCAAGGACAAGCTCAGCAATTCAGAATGAACACAAACAACACTCCATTCATTCATTTAATTAACATTCATCATGGCATTTGGTGTGTAGGGCTTAGCAATAAGGGCAAGAAACAGAATGTACGCGCATCCTTGGCATCTCAAGTTACAAGGGTGAGGGTAGCAGAGCAAAACGCTAGTAATGTGGACAAAGCACACTTTCAACAGAGGTTAAAGAAAAAAAAAGGAAGGGAGGGAGAAAACTTAAGGACCACCTCCCCCTTTATTGAAATTCTTAAAAATAGGCTTATAAATTTAAATATTATGAGCTAATACTGGAAAATACTACGTGTATTTCAAGAGATAAATAAGATACAACTATCTCTAACCCAAAACAATTTAAAATCTAATGAGAAGCCATCAGGGAAACACCAATGAAAACCCTAATAAGAGACCCTTTCACACTCACTGGGATGGCTAGAACCAAAAAGACAGACACGGAACAGATGTTATTAGCAAGGAGGCAGCTGGTGGGATGTCCAATGGTGAAGCTGTTTTGGAAAGCAGTCTGGCAGTTCAAAATTTAGGGCCACTTATGATGCAGCAATTCCACTCCTAGATACATACTCAAGAGAACTAAACACATATGTTCACACAGAAACATGTAAACAAATGTTCAGAGCAGCACTATCCATTAGGAGCCAAAAAGTGGAAAGCACCCAAATGTCCATCAGCTGATGAATGGATAATTAAAATGTGGTATACATACACAACGGAATATTATTCAGCCAAGAGAAGAAATGAAGTACTGATATGTCATGCTACCAAAATAGATGAACCAGGAAAACATCTCACGAGGTGAAAACTCAGTCACAGAAGACTGCGCATAGTATGACTCCATTTAAATGAAATGCTCAGAACACACAAATCTATAAAGAGAGAAAGATTCCTGGTTGCCTGGGGCTGCGGGAGGGGAAGAGAGGGAAAGTGGGGAGTGACTTAATGAGCAGAGGGTCTGTTTTTGAGGGAATAAAAATGTTCTAAAACTGATTGTGGTGACGGCTGTACAAATCTAAAAATACTAAAAATTATTGAGTCGTAGATTTTAAAATGGTGAACTGTATGAGGTGTGAATTGTCTCAATAAAGCTGTTAATAAAAAACTTAACGAAGAAAATAAGATCAACTCATTCTAACACAAGGAAGAAAGAAACACAATGCTAACATGGCAGTAACTATGAAAAGACTATGGGAGCACAGATAGATATCGGAACTTTATGTCTAGTCAGGACGCAGTGAAGTAGCTCCAGGTTTCCAGGAGAGGTGGTACCTTGATGTGGGAGCAGGAACTGATCGGCAGGAGTGGAGATACAAGCTCCTGAGGTGAGATGAATATAAAGACATGGTCACTACTTCTTTCTCTTCTTGCACAGTTTAAAAAACAAAAAACCCTCCAATTTTCAGAATTCTGGAGCTTCTATCCTTTCATCCTCCTAAAGTGATTTTTTTAAATCCCCAGAGAACAGGCTTTGTTAAGAATAAAACTGCACAGGGGCGCCTGGGTGGCTCAGATGGTTAAGCGTCTGCCTTCGGCTCAGGTCATGATCCCAGGGTCCTGGGATCAAGTCCCACATCGGGCTCCTTGCTCAGCGGGGAGTCTGCTTCTCCCTCTCCCTCTGCCTCTCCCCCTGCTTGTTCTCTCTCTGTCTTTCTTGAAAATGAATAAATAAAATCTTAAAAAAAAAAAAGAATAAAACTGCACAATTTAGCAATTGGAAACAAGGAACGTGAAATCTGATTAAGCCCTGGCAGAAGCCAGACTTGAGACTCCTAAGCCAGATGCCAGAATAAGATCTGGAACTCTGAAGCTCCCCTTCCTGCATTCCTACAAGGAAGCTGGTCCTCCTAGGGCTACTAAAAGAATAAAGAGAATTCGTCTATGTAACAGAGCAAAGAACAAAATGCATGCCAGTTCCAGGTACCCAACAAGCAGTAACTAGTACTTCGGCACGGCCAGCCTAGCAGCCTGCCAGATCTGTGTGCCCCCAGATGTCAGAGCTAGGTGTGTTCTCAGGGACCCTAGAAAGGAACCAGCATCTTCGTGGTTCCTTCCAAGATTCTATTCGTACAAAAGATGAGTGAACAAGAGAGATTTTACTAAAGGTTTTCTTAGGGAGAGAGTAGAAGGTACTTACATCCTACACCCCAAACAAACATACACCAGGTCACTATTTGCTAGTTCAGCTTTCCAGAGCACCCTTAGACAGCCTGCCAGGGCGGGGAACAGAGTTCCCTCCACCCCCTCCCTGGGCACTGTGCCCTGGTTCCTCTGGTAAGAGTAGCTCCTCCAGCCTAATTGGAAGGGGTCAACTCTGCTCTGGCTCCTCCCTCCAAAGGGGTGTGTATGTAAATGGGTCACCCAGCTGCAGGGCCCAATGAGGAGGCAGGTTAACAACCATCTTTTGCTACTTGAAAATGGCCCTGAGGAACTCATACCCATCCCAAGTATTTCTCATTAAAAAACAAAATGAAACCCAATGCTTTCCTTAAGAGAAATTGAAGAATAAAGCAAGTACTTCTTTAAGGAGCACATCAAGACTGCACAATTATCTACAACTACAGACAAAACCAGTTCGTCTGATATTTACAGCAGGGGAAAAAATGAAAATTCATCTATTTTCTCATTACGCTTAAAAGTATTAGTTAGCTACTAGGCTGAACTGTATCTGTGACCACTGACAAATGAATCCAAATCACTCCATGAACCAGGTTTGATGAGGGAACAGAAGGCAAGCTGAGGACAAAGCAGAAGCTGACACCCCACAACTCCCCCCCCTCTCCCCGCCATGGGATATATGTGACATTCCTCTGGCACGCCTGGCTGCCCTAAAGGAAAAATAGTTAACTTACAGAGATCACAATCCTACAAGACAGGAGTCTCCCTCAGTTTACAAATGTCTTAGCAATCTACAAGAACAAAGCATTCCTATCATCAATAACCTAGCTTCCAGAAGGAAACGTAGATACAATTAAATGCTCTTATACCCTGCAGCCCATTGAGAGATAACTGAAGTGGACAGAGTTTAATGTTCCTCCAGGAAGTTCCAAACTATCTTAATGTCAATGCCTTACTAGAGGGGTAAACAACCTCAACTTGACAATGGCAAGGCCTCTGGTATCTTGTAGGTCCTCTTTAGCATATGAAAGTTCTTTGGAAACCTCCCTTTTTGCTAACTACCCCCAACCCAATAGTATATAATCAGCCACTCCTCACAACCCCAGGGGCAGCAGCTCTTTCTGCCCTTGGGTCCTGTCCCATGCTTTAATAAACCACCATTTTGCACCAAAGATATCTCAAGAATTCTTAATTGTGGGTTCCAGACTCCACCCCACTGAACCTCACCTATATTCCAAAACCCCATCAGGTTTAGTTAACAAACAAAAGCATAATATATGATTGGCTTTTAGAAAGGATATAAAAATAAAGTCTATTTCATAAATTTGCTCACAATAAAACTGGTTGAGAATGTTTACCTTATACTTACATATTACCTGAAACACTCTACATTTTCCCTTTATTCCTCTGGTTGGGCCCACTAAATAAAGTGCAGATGTGTGCATATCATGTAACACACTTAACCAACTCCAAGGGGGAAAAACAGAAGAAATAAACCTAGTCTCTCCTGTATACTGTTACTGGTGCAAAGAATTCACAGGACCCAAACGACGGCTAGAACTAAAACCCTGGTTTCCTGATTCCAAATCCATTTTTTTTCCCCTAATTCTTGGAAATAAAGTATAACAGCAGCTGGAAACAAAATTAAACCATAACAGCTAAAAACAACCCTAAAGTTTCTCATATGTTCCAAATTCCTAAATAAATAGAACTATGCCTAGCAAGTAAATATCACAGTCTCATAGAAATTACGTGGAACTTATATTACTTTACAGGCTTAGTTAGGCTGTGAATTTACTACATGGGGATTTAGGTACTACTTGGAAAAACTCACAAGTACAGTAAGTTTTTAACATGAATGCTTCCTCACATCAGGTCATAACTCCTCCCCCATTAAAGTTCACCCTTTGGTCTGGTAAATACTTGGGTTCTCACTTTATCTCACCTGACCACATGACTAGGCTTCGGGCATAAAAGGTTTGAGATGGAGATCAAATCATAGACTTCCCATAAAATCCTAGAATGTTGCCTAAAAGGGACTATAAATATCTAGTAACTCAATGATTCTCAGTGGTGGTAATTTTGCCCTCCAGGGTGCGATACTGTGACTTATAAAAACATTCATGTTTCCAGCCTCACATTCATGGTTCCAGCCTCACAATTCCCAAAAACCCCTGGAATTTCCTAAGCTTAGAGAGTGATTAAGGTGTCTTTTGTTATGTTAATGCAGATGACTTTAAGGGACCCCCTCAAGGGGGGGGACGCACTGGCTGCCAGGAAGATCAAGTTTTCAGTCCCAAGGCCACCTGCAATCTTGGGGGAGGGGGGGGCTAGAGGTTGAATCCCCCAGTGGCCAATGACATAGTCAACTAGGACTACATAAAGAAGCCTCCATAAAAACCCAGAAGGACTGGTTTAGGGGGGCTTCCAGTTGAACTGGAGGAGATGCTAGAATTGGGGTGCACCTGAAGCTTTGTGCCTTTCCTAGACACTGCACTATGCATCTCTTCAACTCGCTGTGGATTCAGATCCTTTGTCACAATCTTTAATAAACTGGTAAACCTAAGTGTTTGGAACTTCCAAAGCTGGAGTGCTGGTAGACAATTCTCTGGGCAATGGCCCTTTGTGGAGCCTAGAATGGGGCCTATGGCAAGAGCCTGTGAGCGCCTCCCAGTGCTGACCGTAGGAACTCTGGACAAGAGAATTAATATTTGAGGGGCTTTACTACCTTGCTGTTGGACATTATTAATTGAAGCCACCCCTAGGGCTGAAGGACATAAAAGGGTCTTGAAACCTGAAATGCCATGTCTAGGATGATGCTTGAGGAACTCCCTAATGGGGATGGCAGTGCCTGGGGAATGTGAGGAGGAGCTTTTTATGAGCAGGGACCCTCCCCTCTCCCCCCGGGAGTGATTCTGGAGCTGCGCAAGGGGCTGCTGGACTCTATTTTCATATGGACAGTGCCCTACGGACAGCTCTCTACCAACAACAAAGAACTGCCTGGTTTATGGAGAGCAGTTCCAAGGTGAATGGACAACATCCTGTCTGGAAGGCCACCACTCTGACTGAAGAATATAAAAACACATCAGCATGGTGCGCTGAACCGTATGCTGTTTTCCTAGCAGCGATGGATGAACGGAACAATGTTAACAGCCCCTGTGTGTGGGTTTTTACTGACTCATGGGCAGTGGCCAATAGCCCAGCCATATGATCAGCAGGACAGTAATGGGATCTTGGCCTATTAAAGCAATGTCCATATGGGGCACAGTCTTATGGAAATTAATTGTGGGTATGTCAATAACCCACCAGAAAACGTGCCTTCCAGTTTTAGAAGATGAGTGGATCTGACATGCATTTATCCCCACGCACTCCCTAGAGATGGCCGCCTGGGCCGACGAAATGAGTGAGTGTGGGGGGACTGCAGCAGTGTGGAGATGGGCTGAAGCTAGAATCTCTTGCACCCTCTGAGGTACAAAATGCCAATATGATCTGTTCTGGCAACAAGAGAGACAGAGACTATAGGTGGCCGTGTGGCAGAGACCATGGTCTTGAACGTGGCTGGCAACGCAGACTCATGTGGCAGCCCTGGGGGCTACAAAGGGGTCCTGACAGGAAGAGCTACTGACTCTGGCCTGGGCTTTGCTGACCTGGTGATAGATGCAAAGGCTCAGAGAGATACAGAAAACCAGGAAAGAAGATATTCCCCAGCCAACTGTCATCTCCTCAGACCAAAGAACTCACATAATGTCCAACAACCAGCAGAGAGAAATAGCTTACAGAAACAGTTTTATAGAGAACTGGAATGAGTAATTAAAACACTGGTTGTCTAAAACAGGGGGAGATAAAAATATGAAGGGCTGGCTTACAAGCCTTCACAAGTGTGCTCACACTCCACGTGAACATGAGTGGGGCTGGAGGAGCGTCCCCAGTGGATATAGTCCTGTGTTTCTCGCGGGTCTGGGAAAGCGGGGGAGAAAGGGACAGTGGTCTTTCTTCCCCACATCACCAATGGATGCAGCGGTCAGGGGACCAGGGCTGCAACTACAAGGGCTGGAAGCAGGGACAATTCCATGTTTCCAGCCTTTCTGTCAGAACTTCCAGGGCTCGCCCGGCAAAAGTGGGGCTAACAGTGAGGGCAGCCACCCTGCCTGGTGGCAAAGATGCACCTCCAGTTCTGCATCTGTGTAACTCACCTGAACAGAAGTGGACGGAGGTAGTTGGACTCGCTGCACTCGCACTGCTGCCTGTACCCAGACCGGCACCGTGGCTGGACTTGACCCCCCTTCCTGAGATGGGGAGGTCTGGGTACAAATGCAGAGAACAAAACGTAGTAGATGATGTAATGAGGGAAATCCAGTATTACACTGATGCCTCAAGAGAGGCTCAGAGCAGCTCGATTATTATTCAGACACCTGAAAGGGTAAAGCCTGAGTTACTGAAACCACCCCCACTTTTAGAACCTGACAAGAATGCACAGAAGCCTGCAAACCTGAGTGGCCTGGCCCTGGGAGACATTTTCATAAGATCTGATGATGGACTGAACAGTTATTAATAACTGAATGGGATTCTGTCGTGCGCCATCATCTCTCGACTTTTATCATTGTTTGGCTGTGAGGGATCCCCATTCAAGGACTAAGGGATGGATGCCGTACTGTGATTTGTAAGAAGTATGTGTTTGGTCATTCAAAGGGACCATGTCTTGAGAAAACACTGGTTGTCATGGCTGACGGGGGTGAGGGGTGGAGGAATGCTACTGGCATCTAGTGGGCAGAGAGCGGAGATGCTGCACAATGCCCTACGGTGCACAGGGCAGCCCCCACCACAAAGAATGGTCTGCTCCAAGATTTCAATAGCGCTGAGGCTGAAAAGCTCTGTAGTGACTAGATTCTAGCACAAGAGATAAAGACACTGAGGTCCACAGAAGTTAACTTGTTCAAGATCAACACTAACCAGGGAAGTACTCCAGGGGAAAAATGGAGTTTAGGAATCTGAGTGCATTTGTCTGCACTTCTGGCAGAAAACTGGTGTCCAGAAAACTTATTCCATGGATGAACGCCAATAAAACTGTATTCACTGGTCATGACTTCCCAAGGAAAGACATTATACTTCACAGTATAATTTTCTATGAAAGTTACAAAGGATCACACTGTGTGGGTCATTAGTAAAACACCCAATCTTTAGGACTCTTTAAATCTGACATTTAACATCTATCCTGTTCACTTCTCAACAAACCTGCCACGCTGTGCGAAACAAATCAGTATTTGCTGTTTCATTATTAGATATGTGCAAAGACTCTAAAGTTTTTATTGTATCCTTAAAGCCATAAAACTGACAATTTATATCAGCCAAAACCAGAGAATATCACAAGTAAATGTAAAATAATTCACATTCAAATAAAATCATGAGCATTCACATCTTAGTTTTTCCAAGCTTTAATTTGAAAGACCCTACAATTTTGAATAGAAAAGAGAACAAATTGGTATTCTTTTCTGTTTTGTAATAAAATATTTATCCATACCCATATTTATTGGATTTTTAGTTTAGAGGAGAAAAAAATGTTACCTTGAGTGCTGAGTGCACCAAAGAGTGGTAAAATGAAAGTGAATCTTTACGATGGTCATATAGTTATCTAAAATACCATTTAGGGGCGCCTGGGTAGCTCAGTCCTTAAGCGTCTGCCTTCAGCTCAGGTCATGATCCCAGGGTCCTGGGATCGAGCCCCGCATCGGGCTCCCTGTTCCGCAGGAAGCCTGCTTCTCCCTCTCCCACTCCCCCTGCTTATGTTCCCTCTCTCGCTGTCTCTCTCTCTGTTAAGTAAATAAAAATTTTAAAAATTAAAAAAATTAAAAAATAAAATAAAATACCATTTAAACTTTTAAAATCCCTTACAAAAAAAATTTTATAGTTTCCTTAATTTAGCAAATGTAACTTTTACCATCAAACTCCAAATTACAAATCAAACGTGTTTTTTAAAAGCTGATTTATCAGACTTGGATATTTATCATATGTAACTAAAATAAAGGGGGGGCAACTGATTAAACTGCAAGATAATTTATGCTAAAACTAAGTTTTACATTGGAAATGTCTTGGCTATATGCTAATTATGGTACTGGAGCAATACTTTTACCCCTCGTAAAATTAAGAACACAGACTAGACTTTGGTTTGGTCTTTTATTTTGTTGAAAAAGCATACGTTTTATCTCCTGGGAAAGCATTAAAATAAAAAGCATGACCTTAAAGCTATGTCATCTTCACAAATAATATTAATGAAACCTTAGTGCTCATTACACAAGATAAAAAGAACGCGAGCTTACAGTCAGTCCTTAGTAGAAGCAGACCACGCGCGGCAGTTGCAAATGCTTTAAGCACAGCTCTCCAGTACAACACACTACAGTTCACCCCAGAGAAAGAATGTTGGCAAGGATCTCCACCACATGCAAACTGCATTTAAAGCTGCTGGGCCCTGAAACTCCATGCAGCAGTTTGAAACTGATCCACAGCCTTCCTCCTTCACCTACCACTTGGGGCTAATACACAGCCATGAACTTCTATTGAGGAAAACCACAAAAAGCTTCAAAAAAGCTACAACGGTAGGCTCTTCTTTCACATATTATTTTAAATATCGTTTGTTAAGGTATGATTCATCGAACAGTCTTGATAAATGCAAAGGCCACCTCTAATTTTTTAAGTTTCAGTTACCTTGGACTATTGTAACAAGCACTTAAAATATGTCACTGCATAACTTTAACATCCCTACAGGAAAGAACCTTGTGGCATAAGTCACAAAACCAGGCTTTTTAGCCACTGATTTTTGACAAGCTGGCATCTACGATGCAGCACCAGCAACTCTGAGTGATTCTTTCTGAAGTTACTTAAGAAAAAGTCTGAAATGTGCATCACTGATAACCCTACGAGACTCTTCCCCCCTCCTTTCCCCAAATCCTTGATTAAATTCTATATTTTTTCTAGTCTGCAATACTGTGTTACTCACAGTTTAAATTTAAAAAGCAATGCTGTTAACTAAAAATAATGATATCAATAAAAATTATAAAACTAAGAAAATTAAAATTATGGCTTTCCCTCTATGCTTTATCACCTAAAAGTAAGTGTTAATGACTACTCTTCACTTTAAATTTGAAGTTTAAGTTTTAAAAACTCCTAGAAGTTATTTCTATTCATACCATTACAAATCAAGAGTTCTTATAAAATAGCAAAGTTGAAATACGATATTTTTAACTCACATGAGACAGGATCATGAGTCTTCCTTTTAACTATTTATACTACAGGTATCCTAAGATTTCAATTGCATACAAATACCTTTGTTTAAGGCACCTAATTATTAACAAACTGAAATTATCAACATTGCTTGGGTTTTGACAGAAAAATAAATAAAACCACTTTCTGAAACTATTTTTAAGAATGTCACTGATACTTGAAAACTTTTAGCATCTAATTAAAGATCACTAAGGGTTAAATACTTGTTCTCTGGCCCCTACTGAGTACACCCTGCCAAAAGTCCTCTAAGCTTTTAAATATTGCTTCGATGGTCTGCGTTTTTATTTCCAGGGAAAAAGAGAGCATTGTCCCAGTTAGCAGGCCACTAGCTTATTAACTTCCAGTCACCTTGATTTTTGCTGAAATGAAGACTCTGCAGTCTATATTTCTCCTGCTCCTGTTTGTGCCTCTGATAAAGCCAGCACCACCGACTCAGCAGGATTCACGCATGACCTATGATTATGGAACAGATAATTTTGAAGAAACCTTGTTTAGTCAAGACTTGGAGGATAAATATCTGGATGGAAAAAATATTAAGGTATTCTATTTCTACTCTAAATTTAACTTCTAAAATAGTCACCCATTTAAATGCATGTTTTTGTTTTTTTTAATATGTCTGATAAGGTAAGGGGAAAGAAACAGCACTTTAAATGACTGGAAGTAATTCAAAATAACTGTCCCCAAGATTATATTTTTAAAGTATGCATGCCTCCCATGGTTACCTATGGTAACCAAAGAGTATCTATAGCAACCAACACAAAATTTAAAAAAACTAAACTTTAAGATCATATCTTACTGGTTGAAGATTTATAAGCAATGTTATACAACGCCCTATATTTATGTATTATATTGTCTCAAAATAAAATAGGAGAAATGTGTATTAGGAGAAATAATCTTGGATTACTAGCCTAAGGTTTATTATTTTAGGAAGAAGTGGTTCATGGAAATAAATACTGCTTATTTTGGTGTCTATAGCATTTCACAATAACTTACATATGCCAACTATGCATGGTACGGAAAAATGAAAACCCCCCCCCATGTGGGGCTTAATTTTTAAGGACTTTCAACAATTTAGACTCTATCAATTTTTACCAAGTGACTGTAATTGTCCTTTAGCTAATAGTCTGCAGGGATGACTTCATATCACATCTTTCCTACTCCACTTGCATGGGCTGAGTAATTACTTGTGGTTTTCTTGGCACAAAGAAATGAATGCTGGGTAAGGAAAAAGTTAACGCAGCACATAAGTATCTGCTCCTGCCTACTCTGTGTGTGTGCGCGCACGAGTGCGTGTCATGTGTGCGTACACACAGAATGGAAAATGAGAAACACAGCCAAATATATAACAATGTTGATTGCCTTTTTTTCTTTCTTTTTTTTTTAGTACACAGGACCAAATGTTAACACTATAATTTCTTCCAATGGAGTTGGTTAATATGCTAGCGTTATTTTTGCCCAACATTAAGACCAAAATGATAGGTATCACTAGTCACAGCTTCAGAATTTTTTAAAAAGGCCTATCATAACAATAAGCTTTTGGTTTACATCGATGATTGGAATCTCTCAGTTAAAAAAATAATTTCAAACTTCCGTGCTCCCTAAAAAGTAGTAAGTTCTTGCTTTTTCTCTTCACATTGCTTTCGATGTCTCTGCTCTTCATAGAAATGTAGGGACCAAGATATTTGTGGAGTGGAGAAGCATTCCACAGCACTTAATACACAAACGCAGAGCGGAGGGGCTGCTCAAGCAGAACCCACGTGGGAGGGTAAAGGAGTCGAGATGGAGATGAAAGGGGAACGTGTTTTCAGAGGGTAGAGACCGGTGCCCCATGCAATCCACATCAAATCCAATGGCAGAAAATGTTCCCTCCCAGGACAGGAAGTATTGATACAGACCCCAGGGCTAACAGTCTGGACTGGGGGTCCCAGTGGGGTGGGTAGGGAAGGACCCGGTGCAGTGCAGGCATGTAGGTAATGATGGGTCACTTGCAGAAGAGACCAAAAGCTTGCTCAGTGCCCCGCACATGCAGTGTGACTAGTGCTTCAATCCTGCTGAACATGGTAGAATCTGGCATCAGGAACTCAATTAAGACAAGACCATAAAGAATAATTAAAGACCTTCCCTTGATAAATATGATCTCATTTCAGGTTCCACTTCAGAAAAACTTTCATTCTGAGTCAGAGTTCCCTCCAGCTTCCATTTGGAATTTCAATATATTCAACATTTAGGAGGCACGGAGTTCGGCTTTTGGAGATAAAAATATAAAACAGATCTGGTTCTTTTACTCAAGGAGTTGACAGTATGGAGTGAAAACAAGCTACACAAATATTTACCTTATAAGCTAATGAATGATGAAATGGAATTATGTATCAAATCCTATTGCAGCACAAAGGAAATGACACTAACTGTGACCATGAGAACACAAGCGCTGTCTGTGACCCTACAGTGTTTCGGGTTTTTTGCTAAGATTTATTTATTTATTTGGCATAGGCAGGGAGGGGCAGAGGAAGAGGAAGAGAGAATCCCAAGCAGACTCCCTGCTGAGTGTGGAGCCCAACGAGGGGCTCTATCCCAGGACCCTGAGATCACGACCTGCACCGGAACCAAGAGTCGGAGGCTCAACCCACTGAAGGACCCAGACGACCCATTACCTTAAGTTTTATTGTCAAAATTAGACGTTTTCAGACCTGATAACAAATTTTTATTTTTCCAATAGGAAAAAGAAACTATGATAATACCCGAAGAGAAAAGTCTTCAATTACAAAAAGATGAGCGTGTAACACCACCACCCCTCAAGAAGGAAAATGATGGTAAGTGTGCATATCCTCTCATCTAATTATCTCATTAGGAGCTTCAATAAATAGCTTATTATGGAACTTTATTCCGTATGGTATTAAAAATGACCTCGGGATACATTAAATTCAAACAGTGGACTTTTATCTCCCCTGAGAAAGACAGCTGGTACATTGCGGGTGCACATCCACTGCCACCCCACATCACGAGTGAGAAATGTAGACAGAAACATTCAAGAACAACCAAGTACAAAGTGTGTGCTTTTATCTATATAAAGTCAATTCCAGAAACAGTGATTTAACATCAATGATCTGCAAATACTATGTACAGCCTGAGGAAAAGGGAAATAAAATGAATTCTTCAAGAAACTTACAGAAGACACAGAGATGGCTAAATACATAAATATCTATAATATACATTTCTATGAAAACAATAGAAAATGTAAAAATAACAAATAACAAAGTCCTCCTTAATAGTTCCTGTCTACTTGGTTTACTTTGCTCTGTCAAAGAACAGTGTTTCACACGACAACATGAAAAAAAAATTGCACACTAATTGGAAAGACATCCCTTGCTCTTGGATAGGATGACTCGGTATCATAAAGATGTCAGTTCTGCCTAAATTGAGAACAATAAACTTCTTTACAAAGCTGGTAAGGTTGATTCTCAAGTTCATGTAGAAAAATCAAACCTCCACTAATAGCCAGGAATCACTGAGAACTGACAGGTATCCGCAGAAACAAGACATACCACACATGAGAACATACTTTAAAGTCTCTATGCTACAATACGTATGATACTGGTGCACGAATAGAATAGGAAGTTCAGAAACAAAAATACCTGTAGAAACTCAGTATATAAGAAAGAAGGCATTGTAAATCACTGAAGCAAAGACAGTATTTTTAAAGATTTTAAGAAATCTCTACACCCAACGTGGGACTCCAACTCACAACCCCGAGATCAAGAGTCCAATGTTCTACCAACTGAGCCCGCCAGGCACCTTAACGATGGTATTTTTTAAAAAGAGTGTTGGACCCTGAAACTAATATTACACCGTATGTTAACAAACTGAAATTTAAATAAAAAATTTAGGGGCTCCTGGGTGCCTCAGTCAGTTAAGCGTCTGCCTTCGGCTCAGTTCATATTACCAGGGTCCTAAAATCGAGCCCCTGATGGGGCTCCCTGCTCAGCAGGGAATCTGCTTCTCCCTCTCCCTCTGCCACTCGCCCTGCTTGTACTCTCTCTCTGTCAAATAAAATAAAATCTTAAATACATAAAAACTTAAAAAAAAATTTTTTAAAGATTTTATTTGACGGAGAGAGACACAGTGAGAGACGGAACACAAACAGGGGGAGCGGGAGACGGAGAAGCAGGCTTCCCGTGGAGCAGGGAGCCCGATGCGGGGATCCATCTGAGCCAAAGGCAGATGCTTAACAACTGAGCCACCCAGGTGCCCCTCAAAAAAAATTTTTTAATGGTACTGAACAACTGAGTAGTCAACTGAAAAGGGATAAAATTAGATCCATACTTTACACAGAAAAACAAATCTCTCATTGTATAAATAAGGGTGTCTAAAAGTAAAAAGTGAAACCATGCAAATACGGAATGATAATCTGGGAGTGGGATGCCTCAAAATCCAGAGAAAATAATAGAAAAGATCAATCAATTTGACTTGATGAAATCAAACTTTTTCATGGGAAAAAGCATCACGGACTAAGGCAAACACAACTGAAATCTGAGAGAAATAAAGTTATTATCTCTAATTTATAACACATAAAAACCTAGGAAAAAGAAACTGAATAAAAATCCACTGGAAAAACCAGCAAAAGATATGAACATACAATTCAAAAAGTGATATAAAAGTGACCCTTAAATATATGAAAGATATTCAATCTCAAATATACAGAAATATAAATTTAAATTACACTGAGATACCAATTTTTAACCTACCTGATGGACAAAAATTAAAACTGTTACACCAAAATATACCACTGACAAGGCCATGGGGTGGGTATCAGAGACCTTCATATATTGCTGGGAGGAATACAAATTAGTATAATGTTTTTGGATAGGAGTTAAGCAATGTCTAACAAAACCAAACATGCATTTACTTTGTGACATAGCAATCAACTTCTAGGTTTTTACCCTAAAGATATACCTCCAAAAGGAAGAAAATACATATGCAGCATCGTTCAAACACTGCTTGCAAATGCAAAATTCTGGAAACAATCTAAATGCCCAAATGCTGAAGAGAGGTTAAATGAAATATGATAAATCCACAGAAGGGAATACTACACAGTTGTAAAAATGAATGAAGAAGACTGTTACGAACTGTTAGAAGTGACTTCCAGAATATAGGAAAAAAAAGTGCAAAAGAGTATCTACAGTATACTGCCTTTCATCCGAGAAAGAGAGAGATGTCAGGAAACATGCATGCATCAGCTTACTGGTGTTTCTTGATAAGAAACTCAAGGAAAGGTAATTTAAAAGTGGAGACTAGTCACATACCACTGACAGAAGGAACCAGGGGTGGGAAGGAGGGAGACACCGACACCCGGAGGAGCGGACAAGAGCGCGTGGGGCTCCTCTGAGTACACACTTTCTGCGTGGATTTGATTTTAGAACACGGTTATATTTCACACAGGTAAACAAACATTTGTAAATAAAATGAGCAAGGATAAAACAAAATTGGCCTCTAATCAGAAACTTAATTTCATTTCAAATGAATAACGTAACACATTAAAGGGAAACAAATCTAATCCAAGTAACCCTTAAACACAGTATTTTGACTACATACCTTCAGGCTAGAGACAAAATAGAAGGGGCAAATACTGAAATTCCAGTGAGTAGGTTTGTTTTCCACTGTGTTACATGTCAGTAATAATGAAACTATTTACTGTGTGGCCTAGCACTGAGTAAAATACTACACTGGCTAAAGAGAGCCAGATTTCTCAGAGCCTGGTGCTACAAATGTGGTGAGGGGGAAGGCCAGAGTGACACTGGGGAGCTGGTCTGGAATAGAAGATACTGGCACCAGTTTGCGGTTTATACAGAGGTACAGACATGGGTACAGGCCCGCCTTGGTTTACTGACCCCGCAGATCCTGCATTGCTTACAAACTGAAGGTTCACGGCAAACCTGCCTGGAACAAGTCTATTGGCACCATTTTCCCCACAGCAGTTGCTCACATCCTGTCTCTGTGTCACATTTTGGGAACTCTCACAATATTTCAAGCTTGTTATTACTACAATTTGTTAGGGTGATCTGTGATTGGTGAACTTCGATGTCACCACTGTAATTTGGGGGCACCATGAGCCGTGCCCATATAAGATGGTGAACGTAACCGATCAATGTTGCGTGTGTTCTGGCTGTTCCACAGATGGTCTCTTCCCCCATCTCTACCTCCTCCACCTCGGGCCTCCCTATTCCCTGAGACACAACCGTATTGACATTAGCACAACTGATAACCCTCCCATGGCCTCTAAGTGTTCAAGTGAAAGGAAGAGTCACACATCTCTCACTTTCCATCGAAACCAGAGATGATTAAGCTTCGTGACGAACGCCTGTCGAAACCCAAGACAGGCCGAAAGCTAGGCCTCTTGTGCCAAACAATTAGCCCAATTGTGAATGCAAAGGAAACGTTCTTGAAGGACATCACAGGTACTTCCCCAGTGAACACTCGAATGGGAAGAAAATGAAACAGCCTCCCTGCTGACATGGAGAGAGTCTGACTGGTGTGGATGGAAACTCAAACCAGCCACAACATTCCCTTGGGCCAAAACCTCACTCAGAGCAAGGCCCTGACTCTTCAGTTCTGTGCAGGCTGAGGTGAGGAAGCTGCAGAAGGAAAGTTGGGAGCTGGCAGAAGCTGGCAGGGCTAAGGGAAGAAGCTGTCTCAAAAGCGTACAAGGGCAAGGTGAAGCAGCGAGTGCTGATGGGGAACCTGTAGCAAGTGATCCCGAAGATCTAGCTAAGAGAATTCATGAAGGTGCTCACACTAAACAGATTGTCAATACAGATGAAACAGTCTTCTGTTGGAAGATGCCATCCAGGACTTTCATAGCTAGAAAGAAGTCAACACCTGGCCTCAAAGGTTCAAAGGACAGGGGCGCCTGCGTGGCTCAGTCATTAAGCGTCTGCCTTCGGCTCGGGTCATGGTCCCAGGGTCCTGGGATCGAGCCCCACATCGGGCTCCCTGCTCCGCGGGAAGCCTGCTTCTCCCTCTCCCGCTCCCCCTGAGGGTGTTCCCTCTCTCACTGTCTCTCCCTCTGTCAAATAAATAAATAAATAAAATCTTAAAAACAAAATAAGGTTCCAAGGACAAGCTGACTTTCTCAAGTGAAGCTAATGCAGCTGGTGAGTTGAAGTGGAAGCCCATGCTCATTGCCCATTCTGAAAATAAGCCCTTAGCAACCATGCTAAATCTCCTCCGCCTATGCTCTTTAAACAACAGAGCCTGGCGGACAGCACATCTATTTACAACATGGTTGATGGAATATTTTAAGCCCACTCTTGAGACTTACTGCTCAGGAAAAAAGATTCCTTGCAAAGTATTACTGCTACATGGCATTGCACCTGGTCAGCCAAGAGTTCTGATGAAGACGGACAAGATTAATGTTGCTTTCATGCCTGCTACCACAACATCCATCCTGCAGCCCATGGATCCAGGGGTGATTCTGACTTTCAACTCTCATTCTTTAAGAAATAAAAGGCATCCAAATCAGCAAGGAAGAAGTCAAACTTTCACTATTTGCAGATGACATGATACTCTGTATAGAAAACCTGAAAGACCCCACCAAAAAATTGCTAAAACTGATACATGAATTCAGCAAAGTCACAGGATAGAATATCAATGTACAGAAATCTGTTGCATTTCTATACACCCATAATGAAGCAGCAGTAAAAGAAATCAAGGAATCAATCCCATTTATATCTACACCAAAAACAGTAAGATACCTAGAAATAAACCTAACATAAGAGGTAAAAGATCTGTACTCTGAAAACTACAGAACACTCATGAATGAAACTGAGGAAGACACAAAGAGATGGAAAGACATCCCATGCTCATGGATTGGAAGAACAAATATTGTTAAAGTGTCTATACTACCCAAAGCAATCTGCACACTTAATGCAATCCCTATAAAAGTAACAACAGCATTTTTCACAGAGCTAGAACAAAAAATCCTAAAATTTGTATAGAACCACAAAAGACCCAATACAATCCTGAGAAAGAAAGCCAAAGCTGGCGGCATCACAATGCCTGGCTTCCAGCTCTATTACAAAGCTGTGATCATCAAGACAGTATGGTACTGGCACAAAAACAGACACATAGATCAATGGAACAGAATAGAAAACCCACAAATGGACCCACAACTATATGGTCTACTAATCTTTGACAAAGCAGGAAAGAATATCCAATGGAAAAAAGACAGGCTCTTCAACAAACAGTACTGGGAAAACTGGACAGCAACATGCAGAAGAATGAAACTGGACCACTTTCTTCCACCATACACAAAAATAAATATAAAATGGATGAAAGACCTGGGCCTGGGTGGCTTAGTTGATCGAGCGTCCGACTCTTGGTTTCTGCTCGGGTGGTGATCCTGGGGTTGTGGGATTGAGCCCCGTATCAGGCTCTGGCTTGGTGTGGACTGTGCTTGGGATTCTCTCTCTCCTTCTTCTGCCCCTTCCCCCACTCAAACACATGCTCGCTCTCTCTCTCAAAATAAATAAATAAATAAAATCTTAAAAAAAAAAAAAGGGTGAAAGACCTAAATGTGAGAAAGGAAACCATCAAAATCCTAGAAACATAGGCAGCAACCTCTTCAACCTTGGCCTCAGCAACTTCTTAGACATGTTGCCAGAAGCCAAGGAAACAAAAGCAAAAATGAACTACTGGGACTTCATCAAGATAAAAAGCTTCTACATAGGGAAGAAAACAATCAACAAAACTAAAAGGCAACCTAGGGAACAGGAGAAGATATTTGCAAATGACAGATCCAAAATCTATAAGAAACTTACCAACTCAACACCCAAAAAACAAATAATCCAGTTAAGAAATGAGAAGACGTGAATAGACACTTTTCCAAAGAAGAAATCCAGATGGCCAACAAACATATGAAACTACACTCATCATCACTCATCATCAGGGAAATACAAATCAAAACAATGATGAGAGGGGCATCTGGGTGGCTTAGTCAGTTGAGCATCTGCCTTCAGCTCAGGTCATGATCCCAGGGTCCTGGGGTCGAGTCCTGCATCTGGGTCCCTGCTCAGCGGGGAGCCTGCTTCTCCCCCACCCCCTCTCTGTCAAATAAACAAAATCTTTAAAAAAAATAACAAAAAACACAAAACCACAATGAGAAATCACCTCACACCTGGCAAAATAGCTAAAATTAACAACACAGGAAAAAACAGGTGTCGGCGAGGATGCGGAGAAAGGGAAACCCTCTTGCAATGTTGGTGGGAATGCAAACTGGTGTAGCCACTGTGGAAAACAGTATGGAGGTTCCTCAAAAAGTTAAAAATAGAACTACCCTCTGACCAAGCAATTGCACCATTGGGTGTTTACCCGAAAGATAAAAAAAATACAGATTTGAAGGGGCTCATGCACCCCAATGTTTATAGCAGCATTACCAACAATAGCCAAACTATGGAAAGAGCCCAGATGTCCACTGACTGATGAATGGATAAAGAAGTTGTGGTATATATACAATGGAATATTACTCAGACATCAAAAAGAATGAAATCTTGACATTTGCAATAACATGGATTGAGCTAGAGAGTATTATGCCAAGTGAAATAAGTCAGAGAAAGACAAATACCATGATTTCACTCATACGTGGAATTTAGGAAACAAAAAAGATGAGCATATGGAAAGGAAAAAAAAAAAAAGGAGAGGAATGGAAGCAAACCATAAGAGACTCTTAACTACAGAGAACAAACCGAGGGTTGATGGAGGGAGATGGGTGGGGGAGGGGCTAGATGGGCGATGGGCATTAAGGAGGGCACTTGTTGTGATGAGTGCTAGGTATTGTATGTAAGTGATGAATCACTACATTCTACTCCTGAAACCATTACACTATATATTAACTAACTAGAATTTAAATAACAATTTAGAAGAAAAAAAATGTTTCCTGTTCAGAAGACATCGATAAGAAAATAAAAAGACAAGCCCCATAGAGGAAAAGATTTGCAAACTGTAAATCTGACAAACTTATACCTACAATATATAGTCTTATATTTCAGTAAGAAAAATACAAAAAAAAATTTTTAAATAGGCAAAAGATATGAACATTTTACCACTACAATATGTGGATGGCAAATAAATTTATAACAAAATTGCTCAGCACATTAGTCATTAGGAAAATATAAATTAGAACAGGAGATACCACAACATGCCTTCCTGGAATGGCTAAAATTAAAAAGTCTGATCAAACCAAATGCTGATGAGGATGTGGAGTAACTGGAACTCTTGTTCACTGCTGAAGGGACTATAAAATGGCACAACCTCTACGGAACATAGTTTGGGGCTTTCCTCAAAAGGTATACACCTCTCAGGTGGCCCAGCCATTCTGCTCTTAGGTAGTTCCACTAGAGAAATGAAAGCATTATGTCCCCACAAACTTTTACATAAAGGTTCACAGTAGCTTTCTGTGAAATAGCCAAAAACTAAAAACCCAAATGCCGAAAAGGAAGGACTATATAAACTGTGTATATTAATACAGTGAAATACTACTCAGTAATAAAAAGGAATGCACGGCCGATACATGTGATAAGAGATGAATCTCAAAATAATTGTGCACAGTAGAAGAAGTTGGATCAAAGTGTATATACTTCATGGTTCTTTTGATATAAAATTCTTGGAAATGGAGGCTGTTGTAAACTGACAGAAAGCAGGTCAGTGGTTGCTGGGAGGGATTACAAAGAGCGTAACAACACTGGGTGATGATTATGTCAATTATGTCTATTGCAGCCATGGTTTCATGGGTATATACATATGTCAAAAACTTATAAATTATGCAAGTTAAATATGTATAATTTATTAAGTATCACTTAAGCACAAAAAAAGCTGTGACAGAATAAAAAAGAGCATAAAAGAGTTCACATTCAGGGCGCCTGGGTGGCTCAGAAGGTTAAGCATCCACCCTCAGCTCAGGTCATGATCCCAGGGTCCTGGGATCGAGGACCACATCGGGCTCCCTGCTCGGTGGGAAGCCTGCTTCTCCCTCTGCCTGCAGCTCCCCTTGCTTGTGCTCTCTCTCTCTCTCAAATAAATAAAGTATTAAAAAAACGAGTTCACACTGGCTAATCTGTGACAATTATCAAAATAAATTTGATGGTAACTTCTGACCCATGAGATAAGAAATTCATATGCTCATACTGAACTGATATAACTAATAAGGAAATGTTCCACCTTATACCATGTATCAACTAACAAATGTAGAAGAAATGATGGAATTAGAATTCGCAAGTATCCTAGTAACAAATGATTCAGGTAAGAACTATCAATAGGTGATAAAACTAGTGAGTGACAGGTTAATGACAAACCAGATGTTTAGAATCTCATAGTACTTCTTCAAAAGATACTTATTAATGGCAAACACCAAGTGAGTCAAGTGACCAAAGAAAGCATCATCAGGAATGGGACAAATAGATACCGTGTGCTTCCTGATACACGGCCCTGAGGACCCAATGAGAAACCTCGGAAAAACCCTAATTGAAAGACATTCTGAAAAATAAATGCCCTGAAAAATAAAATGTTTTTAAAATTCAAAAGTTTTCAAAAATTTAAAAGACTAAGGCATATTCCAGGTTGAAGGAGATGAAAAAGTCATGACAAGTATGCAATGCATGATGTAGCACGTAATAGGGTCTTTGCCATTTCTGGGACGGCTCTAACATTCAGGTTAATAGTCTGTGCTTACTTAACTGCTGGTTCCTAAGCTCCTTAGCTATGGTCACCAATCTGAAATGTGTCTGTGCCAAACCAAGTGATAAAGCAAGCTTGCATTTACCTTATGGTCTGCTTTATGAATCCTTTTTGGTATTTAAATCAGGAAATGTAAATCAGTTCAGCAATTAAATGATCACTGCTAGGATAGAGAATAAAGGAGATTTCGGATGACAAAACTGAAAATAAGATTCTGGTGAGTTATTAGGTACAATACAGGTCACTAACTAACATGACCATGGTATCTTTCCCACTATCACCTATAATTCTGCAAAATATGTTTTCAAATTAGTGATAACATTCATGATAGCAATAATTTTACCATTACAAGCTAAATATTTTAATTTTCTTTAAAGTAGGTTCCACGCCCAGCGTGGAGCCCAACATGGGGCTCAAACTCACAACCCTGAAATCAAGACCTGAGCTGACATTGAGAGTCATACACTCAAATGACTGAGCCACCCAGGTGCCCTGAGGCCAAATATTTTTAAACTGTTTATATTTTTATGATTTTGTTTCCCAACTTAGAAATGCCCACCTGCCTATTGTGTGTTTGCTTAAGTGGTTCTGTATACTGTGAAGAAGTTGACATTGATGCTGTACCACCCTTGCCAAAGGAATCAGCCTATCTTTATGCACGATTCAACAAAATTAAAAAGTTGACTGCGAAAGATTTTGCAGATATACGTAAGTTAATTTTAAATAAAATAATTCATATTAACTCATGTTAGTATTAACCTCATTATAAACACAAGTTTCTAGGCACTTGTGGCCTCTCATATCTAGGGTAGTCACTGTTGGAGTATTTAAGCATCCACATACTTCACCAAAATCCACTGGTTGGTGAATCTCCTTTCCATTCAAATGCCACATGTCATCTTTCTTTACTGGTGACTTCAACGTCTATGTTGACGGCCCATTAACATATGGGCACCTACGCCTTCTGAACCTGAGGACTTTGAGAACTGTCTGCCTCAGCCAGTCAGGAGTGCCAGTATAATCGAAGTGCTTCTCTAACCTCGGTGCTTTCTTCACAATGCTACCTTCACTTTAAAAGCATAAGCTCTGCTTTTCCTTACTTTAACTCAAGGTTCTTAAACCTGGCTATGTACTAAAAATAAAAATACCGATACCAGGCCCTACTCTCCAGAGCTTTTAATTTAGGTCTTGGGAAAGGCCCACGTGTCGTCATGGAACACCACCAAACTTCTCATATGATTATCACGTGGAACGAGTGGGTTTCACTCCTTTCTGGGATGCGGGCCACCAGGGCCCTGCCGTGAGCACACCACACTCCCCGATTCCTGCATCGCCAAGTCCCCCAGTCCTGGATCACAAGCCCTCATGAGTTCTCTAGACTGCTGTGTTGTTGAGTGCTTCTGAAGAAAATCACACCCAGAAACGCACACTGGCCCCTTTACACATTTATGAGATTCACCGTAAGAGTATTCACGCTGCAACTGGGAGCTCGCAACTGGTTAGGGTACAGTTGTGCCTCACCAGTTGTGGATTCACACTTTCAAACTCACCTACCCAGTGGAATATATTTGTGACCCAAAGTCACTACATGTTGCCCTTCACAGTCATCTGCAGACAAGTGCACTGTGGGAACACACTGGGGCTACCTAGCCAAGGTCGAACAAGGTGACCCCTGCCATTCTGTGTCAGCTCTCACACCCTAAGGGTCCTGCTCGTCTTAGTGCCACACCTTCCCCGCTCCTGTGCTCCGCAAGCGCAGTGCTCAAGTGCCTCATGGGAATCTTCATTCCAGTGTGAGCTGCAGTGCCCATGGCCGTGAGTTCGGTAATATATAAACTAACTACAATGCTCGGAAACAGAAACACTCACAGGATTTTGTACTAATTGGTTGATGTAAATGTAAACGTGTGACGAGAGGCTCACAGGAGTCTAACCCTTATATTCCCTGGGAGCAATGGTCCATATTCGCCGAACTCAGTGTTTGCAGGGGTTACCTCAAATAATGAATGAGAAGTGATCCGTTTCCTCATCATCCCAGACATATAAATGTGAAACAAACAAACTGAATGTCTCTCTCCATCTGCATCACCTTAACAAATGAGGGAACATTCCTGTTTGTTGTTGTTAAGCGATAAGGCATAGACAGATAAAGATAACATACCTACAATCACAATGCAACATGCTGGGAAAAAGTCCAAAACATACCTACATGATTCTTTTCAACCAAATGTAGTGCTTACTTCCCATGATTTGCAACCAGAATTTGTTTCAAACTGCCTCAGCATCCTGAGAATTCAAATACAGAAGGATAGAAGAACTCTATGAACTTTAAGTTCCCTTCCAACCCTGAGATTCCAGGACTCAAGTGAGGAAAGCCATCAGTGTCAGGCACAGGGCAGATGCTCAGCATGCGTTCAACAAAATTTACTGATCTACTAATTACAGACACTCTAGTAGATACTAAAAATAAAAGGTGTTTGAATGACCCATTAAACCAATGCTTTTCTTCAGTCCACACAAATGAGACTTTATATTTTTTGTATATTTTCTGTATATTTTTCCTTCAAGCTAACTTAAGAAGACTTGATTTTACGGGAAATCTGATTGAAGATATAGAAGACGGTACTTTTTCAAAACTTTCTCTCTTAGAAGAACTTACACTAGCTGAAAATCAACTATTGAAACTTCCAGTTCTTCCTCCCAAGCTCACTTTATTTAATGCAAAATACAACAAAATCAAGAGTAGAGGAATCAAAGCAAATGCATTCAAAGTAAGTATTTTATACTATGACCAAACACAATATCAGTTTTATACAACCAATGATAATATGATAAAAGAGAAACACTGTTCTAAAATTTTGTTTTATATTTTAAAATGATTTTAATTTTATAAATGAAGACATTATTTCCATAATAAATAGTCCTGGTATTGGGCTCATTCAGTCTAGCTTATACCTGCACCTCCCTTTACATAACTTGACCTTGTTTCACAGGACTACATTGTGTCCCAGCTTTTTCACTTGTTCACACAGTAAATATTTATATAGACGTGGTTCATACCCTCACGGCACCAGGATACTATAAAATCTCAAAATGCGAGTTTTCCTGTGTTTCTTTTCCTTACAATATTAGTAATTTATACATGCCAGAAAATTATCATTCCTAAATTAAAATTCAGTAAAAGTTGAATTTTACTTTTACTACTTAAAAGTATTAGCCCATGAAATTCTGTAGGTAGACTTTCTTTTGAATTTCAGCTAGTACAAAATTCTCTATGTACTAAACATTAAATACATTTCTAATTTAGTAACTCAAGATATAGGTACAGGAAAAAGGGAAGGTGATCTACTCTGACTTAGGTAGCCAGACTGTGTCCAAATGCACAGCCTAAGGAGAAGTTACTGCCTCAGTCCAGTCCTGCACAGGTGGTAACTCGTTCCCAGTCCTGGAAGGAGCCCCAGATAAAAAGACTACTGTGTTACTACTGGCAGCATAACTCATTCAAAAGGGAAGCTTATGACTTCTTATGATAACATCTAATAGAAACACTATCAGTTAGTTTATGATAATCACAAAAAGGTACAATTTATCCACAAATGAACAACCTGTCAGAAAATGTAAAAGTATTCCATTTTTCTTTTCTTTTTGTTTACACTCAAGGAGTTCCTTTTCAACTGTAAGAGACATTATTTTAAAGGCACATCAGAGTTCCTCGGAAGTTAAGGGATTATTAGGGGACTTTTCAAAACAGGGCTCCATTTTTTTATTTTTTTAAGATTTTATTTTTTTATTTGACAGAGACACAGCGAGAGAGAGAACACAAGCAGGGGGAGTGGGAGAGGGAGAAGCAGGCCTCCCGCGGAGCAGGGAGCCCGATGCGGGGCTCGATCCCAGGACCCTGGGACCATGACCCAAGCTAAAGGCAGACGCCTAACGACTGAGCCACCCAGGCGCCCAAAACAGGACTCATTTTAAAAACAACAAAAAACCCTTATAATTTGAAGCTATTAATTCCAGCTGATAAGCTGGTGACCAACTGGCATAGTAAAGATCTGCAAGAGCCGATCAACACTTCACAAAAGGAGTGTTTGAATATTCTGAATTTTACACTTGCGTTACATCTTCAAGTCATGTTATAAAATGATACACAGCAATGGGCTACTGACCATGAAGAGTAATTCCACACAGACCCTTATGGGTAAAAGTCATACCTCACTAAGTAGTTAATAAATTGCTCTAGGAAATATCTTACTAACAAGCACATCGCTTAGGAGCACAGGCAAGTCGCATGTCACTATGCTTTGCAGAGACCGTGTTTCTACAAACTGAAGGTCTGCGCCAACCCTGCGTGGAGTGAGTCTGTTGGCGCCACTTTTCCAACAGCGTTTGCTCACTGTGTCTCTGTGCCATGTTTTGCTAATTCCTGCAATAATTGAAACTTTTTCATTATTATTACATTTGTCATGGTGATCTGTCATTAGGGATTATAACTCACTGAAAGCTCAGATGATGGTTAGCTTTTAGCAATGAAGTATTTTTTAATTAGGGTACGTACACTGTTAGGCATACGCTACTGCACACTTCATAGACTGCAGTATAGTATAAATGTAACTTTTATAGGCACTGGGAAACCAAGAAATTCACTGGATTCACTTAATTGCAATATACGTTTTATTGTGGTGGTTTGGGACTGGAACCCACACTACCTCCAAGTTGTGCCTATATTCGTTTTGCTAGAAATTGGTGAACTGAAATGAGAAGTTCTGAAGGTTCAAGAGAGGTTATGGCAGCACCAGGATCCAAATTCAATCCTGCGTAGGGACTGACCTTATTAGCTGTTCACAAGACAGATCAATGGGGCCCAGAAGCTGACATGAGGACGGAGGCCAGGCATGGCTGGATATTCAGTGGTCAGTAAGTGGAGAGAAATGTGGGGATGCAAGAGGGAACGACTACCCTTCATAAAGGACCAAAATACACTACTTGTGAAACGACAAAAACCCTCAAAACCAAATAACTACCAAACCAGCAACTGATAGTACTGATAGGTGTCTATAACAATACCTATGTGCACATGTATAAACACACATATATCATGTACACATGCACGCACATGTATGCACATATACATGCACGTGTGTACACAGCTGGAATCCTGTGTAAGAAATGTACTGACCTCAGTAACACTCAAGCCAAGTACCTTTTCCTTACAGAAATTGAACCACCTCTCCTTCCTCTACTTGGACCACAATGCCCTGGAATCTGTGCCTCTTAATTTACCAGAAAGTCTACGTGTAATTCATCTTCAGGTAGGATTGCGCCTTTCACAATATCTGGCTTTAAGTTACAATTGGTCAGTCTTATGACTCATTAGGAAACTCATTTATTATTCACATGTAAATTTTGCCTATCAAAAGTATGACTAGTCCAAGGCACTCACCCGCCTGAAAGCCCCACCTGTCCAGAGAAGCAAGAAAGGATCAGTGACCCAGAGGTGAGGTCTGCTCTTAGAGTGGGGGGGTTTGTCATCAGGTGTGAACTTAGCATCTCCTAATTAACCTGACCCATGGATTTGAAGGTAGGGCACACTAAGACCTCTACTTTGTGCTTCTTCCTCCAACAGCAGTAAACATTGGCCTTTGGTGACTTTCCAGCTGATTTTATTGTACAATATTATCTTGAGGTAATAGAAGAGAGAAGAGGAATTAAAATAAACTAAAATTGGTCTTTCAGCATCACAAGAATTCCCATTTGTCCTTTTTACTTCTTTAAAGGAATATCTAAGGACACAGTACCCATTTTGAGTTGACACTCTAGAACACGACAGTTTCACCAGCTAGGATAATCTTATTCATGCTTAGAACTTTCTGCCACATGGATGTCACTCTGAGTAATAAGTAGTGTGTTCTTACAAAGTAATATTGTAGACGTAAAAAGGTAGGCGCTGGGGGAAAACTCAGGTCGCACTGAGAGGGTTTTATTACTATAAGGATACACAGGATATACGATATTTTCAAAATCACTTTTTAGATAAATATTCCGTGAAATCCCATTACATAGCATACAGAAGGTTAATTTCAAACTTCTGAACAATTTTTCCCCTTCTATTTTCCAGTTTAACAACATAACTTCAATCACAGATGATACATTCTGCAAGGCTAATGACACCCGTTATATTCGGGACCGCATTGAAGAGATACGCTTGGAGGGCAACCCCATCGTCCTGGGAAAGCATCCCAACAGTTTTATCTGCTTGAAAAGATTGCCTGTAGGGTCATACTTTTAACCACTACCAATGCAGCATATAAACTAACGTACACTCATGCATATAATCTGTCTCAACAATGTCTAAAGGAGCGTAAATATTTAATATTAACTTTGAGTCCCACTATGAAGGAATTTTATGTTTTAAACAAGGATGTTCAAAAATCTTACACATAACAAGTAAAAAGTAAAATTGAATCTAAAGTTCAAAACAAAGCAACGTGAAAATATTTAAACAGCATTACAAAATCCTTGTAGTTTATACCATAGTGCCACTTTGAAAGGTATGTTTTTATATAAATACTCAAATTTAAGAAGCATTATTTCAATTACTAATGAAGTGGAAGGGTAAGTCCAAGAAATGTTCAACTGCTGGTCTTTCTTGGCCTTTACTGGATCCCTAAAGCATTTAAGGAAGATGTTCCAAAAACTTTGAAAAGCTAAGTATTTCCAGTGATCTCCCATTTTTCTTTTATGATTCATACATTATTCATTATGAAATAGGAACTCTGTTTTCCCTCTATTAAGGCAGCTATTATATTTTTACTTAGCCTGAGAAATAGGGTATCGTCTCATATCTAGGCAAAACTGTCCAAATAAAGCATAATATTACTCTCTGATAAAGACCTAATAGAGTAATATTCAATGTTTCCTTTGTAGTCACACAGTTAAAGGCTTCAGTAAAATAGTACAAAATCTTCCTTTTTCTAAATACTGACATTCCAAGTCTACCATAAAACATTTTAAGGAGCCAAGCAGACCAAAATCAGTATGCTCATAAAAAACAAAAAAAACTTGAAGGTCCATCCCATCTCTCAAAAAATAACTATAAAGTTCCCCATTGTAAAGGCTTTCAAATATGACAGATACCACAATATATTTTCTTTTTACCACCACAGCAGTGAGAATCTCATTCATAAATCTGTTCAAATGTAAGACATGAAAACAGTGAATTTTGTGGTGTTACTGCACACCACCATCCCCCCGCCCCCCAACCTACATACATCACAGTCATGCAAACTGATTATACCTTCACAATAAGGCTTCAGAGCAACATTTTCTAAAGACCTGGGATTAACTGATCATTTCGCAATGTGAATTCACCTACACTCTAACAGTGATGACTCATGATGGAACAATGCGGCCAAAGTTCCTAAAATAACCTTCCTCTTGCCCAAAACCCACTCAAAAGTCTTAGTCCCCACACTACATCAGGATTACATCCAAAATTATCAGTGCCTTAGAAACATGCATCTGAACTGTGTATATAAAAATTTCCAATATTGTTTCCAACATAAATCATACATTAGAATCAAGTTGGTCTCCATATACCATTCCCAGAACAAATAGTTATTCATATTTTTAAGCATTTGCTTCTGTTTTTCCCTAAGTAGAATGAGCTCCTATCTGTTTTTCAATTTTTCCTCCATTTGTCAAGGATGACCTGAAGATGAGACTTTTTCATTAAAACATCTGTGATGTCTTTATTAACTCACTTGCTTATTTTATTTTGGTAATTGGTAATCATTAACTATATACTGCTTTCTCATTATTTTGTGTGCATGCCTCATTTCTCTGTGACTGAAAGCTCACTGAACGCATCCAGTATTCCCTGTATACTTTCAGTGTGCCTAGCATAATAGTAGTGAGCACATCTGAACTGAATATGCAATGAAAAGTACAAAATAAAATTCATTTAAACTGAGGGCTCTGTTTTATTTGGAAAAGTAGAATCTTTATCACAATCTTGAATAAAACAATGTAAACAAATTATAACTTTATCTGGAAAAATAAACTTGATAAAAAGGAGAGCTAAGTGGTGGGACTGACACCAGGAAAAGCGGTCAGAGAAGACGTCTCTCACATTTCCAGATGCATCTCTATATTCTTTACCTAATGGAACTTGAAGAAAAAAAAACCCATAAAATAACTCAAATTTTAGAGAATTCAAAAGCCTGTGGTTTACATAAAATAATAATTAGAAAAGAGCACTGGTAAAAGGTCTATATTACAGAATTATCTTTCAAAGACAATTTCAGACTTCCAGATAAGAAGATATGAACAGGGGTACCGGACAATCTTATATATACCCTTAAATCATAAATAAAAGAATGAGAGAAAGTAAAATTTTGCTGCTCCCATTATCTTAAAGAAATAGTATTCATTATTGACACTGATGATTAAAGAAATTAAGGTTTAAAATTAAAACTGTTTACCCTTACAAACATTCCTGAAAATAACAAAGCCATGTGTCAGTAGAGAGATGCCCTGTGTCTTAACGGTTACTATGTCAGCTCCACCCAAAGCAATCCACAGACTCAACACAGTCCCTATCCAAGTCCCAATTACATTTTTTGAAGAAATAGAAAAACCCATTCTGAAATTCATATGGAATCTCAAGGGACTTCAAATAGGCAAAAGAAATTTGAAAAGAAGACTAAAATTGGAGAACTCACACTTCTCATTTCAAAAGTGAATTACAAAGCTACAATAATCAAAAGTGTGGTACTGGCATGGATAGGAACATACATAACAATGAAAGAGAACAGGGAACCTAGAAACAAACCTTTGCATAGATGGTCAACTGATTTTCAACAAAGGTGCCAAGACCCAGGACAATTGATACCCACGTGCAAAAGAATGCAGATGGACGCTTTGTTTACAATGTATACAAAAGTTAACTCAAGGTGGATCAGACACCTAAACTTAACTATAAAACTCTTAGTGCAAAAAAGAGGAAAACCTTTATGACACTGAATTTGACAATGATTTCTTGGATATGACATCAAAAAGCAAAGACAACAACAAAAAAAAACAGATAGACTGGATGTTGTTAAATTTAAAAACTTTTGGGCATCAAAGGACACTATCAAACAAATGAAAAAACAAGCCAAAGAATGGGGGAAAATATTTGTCAATTATATATTTGATAAAAGATTAATATCTAGAATATATTTTTAAAAAGTCCTATAACTCAACAAGGAAAAGCCCAATTAAAAAATGGGCAAAGGATTTAAATAGACATCTCTGCAAAGAAGATAATATGAATGGCCAATATGCACAAGAAAAGTTGCTCAACATCACTAATCATTCGGTAAATGCAAATCAAAACCACAATGAAAATACTACTTCACACCCATTAGGTTGGCTGTGATCCAAAAAACCAAAACAAAGAAAAGATCCCAAACGTTGGCAAGTATGTGGAGAAATTGGGAGCTTTGTGCATTGCTGTTGCGAATGTAAAATGGTGTAGCCACTGTGGAAGAGAATATGGGGTGCTTCACAAAATTGGACAGAATTACCATATGATCCAATGATTCCATTTACAGGTATATATGTATTAGAACTGAAAGCAGGAACTTGAACAGGTATTTGTACACCAATGTTCATAAAAGCATTGTTCACAACAGTCAAAAGATAGAAACAAAGTATCCATCAACAGATGAATGGCTAAACAAAATGAGGGATATCTATTCAACGGAATATTATTCAGCCTTAAAAAGGCTGTGCTACACCTTGAGAATATTACGCTAAGTGAAATAAACCAAACAAAAAAGTATTAGATTTTATGAATCTGCTTTAATAAGATACCTAGAAATTCACAGAAACAGGAAATAAAATGGTGATTCCCAAGAGCTGGGGGAGGAGGGAATGACAAGTTAGTATTTAATGGGAGCAGCTGCAGTCTGAGATGTAAAAAATTTCTTGAGATAAATATCAGTGATGGCTGCATAACAGCATGACTGTGTCTTTCCATTCTAGTGACCTGATCACCAACAAAGATGAGCTCACAGAAGTACTCGATCCTCTACAGGATAAACACACCAGTTACACTTCTACGCCTGCCTTAATGGCACCTAGAGGCCAATCAACTTTGGAAACGGGACTATTCAAATGTATCAGTAAACCACCATGTTAGGTGGTGCCTCGCCACAACAGTCAGCAATCATGAATGTGTTTTACCACTTGTGAAGCAAAGCTTTTCACTGTTTTGGTGCAAGAGTACATGTAAATAAACAACAGTAAGAGAACTCCTCCAGGGACCACAGTACAGGTACAGGCATGTTTCATCCTAAGGAAACTTCTTTGTCTGACGGATTTAATAATTCAACCAAACAGAAGACAAATAATAACTGTAATAGTGATAAGGGTAATAATAATAAAAAATCCAAATAAACAAGAGTCATAAAAACAACAGTCATGACCTGGGGTTAGCCTTTTGAGATATTATATTGACTCTTTCAGAACTGGATTTTGTGTGGACCACTACTGTCAATATTGCTGCCATCCAACTAAGAAGAATGTGGGGGATTGAAATGCAGCCCAACGTAATTCTAGTTATGCCAGAAATCAGAATAAAAAGAAGTCCTTGAATGTATCCATATCAGACTTAAGAGGCATTACTATACCAGAATCAGGCTTCATTAGTTAAACATGAAATATATGATAATTAAGAAGCTCAAAATACAGAGTATGACTACGAAGTAAAAATTACAGTGCTAGGTGATAAGCCCACTATGATTACACTCATTTTAGCGTTTGTATTTTACTTCAAGTACCCTGGACAGATTAATTTTTCAAAATGTGTATAAAATAAGTAAGAATTTAACTATACCTCTTTCAAGATATCCCATAATACAAATGACTCACTGGTTTGTACAAAAGCATTCCTCCTCATTTATTCCAAATAACTGCAAATTCCAGAAGCCAATAAAAATATCTTCTATTGTTTGAAAACTTTAAGGAAAGAATGTTATGTTAAATCCCCAAATTAATACCAGCTTCACTTGTTGGATATGTTTAAATTTAAACCAGCTTAACTTTTTGAATATGTTTAAATTTAAAAATTTTAGACCCTACCTTGAAGTGTTCAAATGTGCGCTTTCGATATTCACACCACTCCACAAAAAAGTGTAGGCTTCGGAAAAACATCAACAGATCTCTTCTTTCTTCTGCTCTGTATGAATAGAATGTTCTATGACTCATAAATGTCATAAATAAGAGCCCCAACCTGGCATTTTTAATCTTATTTTTTATATACCTTAAAGCTAAAAAAAAGTACTTGATATATTTCTATATTTTGAACTCTTGAGTATGTGCCCCTGTGTGATTACTAATGCTAATTTCTCAGCCTGAAATGCCCTTTGCCCCATATTAAAATGTTTAAATACTATTGATCTTTCAAGATATCACTCAAATACCAAACTGTCCTTGCATTCGTATTTGATGACCATGGTATGTCATAAAGACTATTTCTGGTCTTTATCCCCACTTCCTGGCACAGAGCTTCAAAAACCCCTGGAATTCCTGAGTGCCCAGTGTGTGTCTCTAATGCTAATGAGGTGACACATGGTGGCCACTAGATAGCCTCAGGATGGAGCCTGTTCACCAAAAAGACTAACCACATGCTTACCGGGTTGGATCTTTGGGCCAACCAGACCTCCAGGGAGGACAGAGGAGCTGAAGGAATTTCATCACATGGCCATTCATCCCATCAACTACACCGTGGTAATGAAACCCCAGTAAAAGCTCTGGACAATAAAGCTCAGTGGAGCTTCCTGGATGGTGAACATGCTGATGTGCCAGGAGGCGAATATGCTCAGATCCCACAGGGAGAGGGCATAGAACCCCTAGGTTTTTCCTCCTCAAAGCCACTCACCGTGCCTCAGATCTTGACTTATGCATTGCTTCCAACTGCCTGTTCCTGGGTACAGCTTTTATAATAAAACAATAATCTTTACTTTAACACTCTCAGTGAGTTTTCTCAGTTCTTCTAACAGATTATCAAATCTGAGTGGGTTGTGGGGAGTGCAGATGGCCCCTGATACTTGTGGATGGCATCTGAAGTGGGCAGTCTTGTTCAGGACTTTGCCCTTATCCTGTAGGTCTACACTAAATCTGAGTAGTGTCTGGAGTGAACTGAATTACAGGACATTCCAGTTGGTGTCAGAGATTGTTCTCTGAACAATGACCTCACCACCACACCACACGACCTATTCCAAAATGGCTAGAAATAATTTCATTCCTATTGCCTATGAGCTCCCATGGAATTTATCTTAATGCTCTTAATACTATACCTACTGTTATACTGACACCCATAAAATAAGCAACTTGTAGGCAAGATGAGTGTATTTACTTAACCGTGCTTTCAGTAAATGATTGTGGGAGTCAAATTCCCATACTACTCAAGATAGAGTAATAAGCACACTCCATCTGAACATTCCAGTTACAAGTTAGAACCACGGACGTAACACACAAAGCAAATATTGGAAGACTCTGAAACGTGGACAAAAGAAGGCAGGAATGGGTAAGAAACTTCAGGAATTGGGGCAACTGGGTGGCTCAGTCGTTAAGCGTCTGCCTCAGCTCTGCTCATGATCCCAGGGTCCTGGGATCGAGCCCCGCATCGGGGCTCCCTGCTCAGCGGGAGGCCTGCTTCTCCCTCTCCCACTCCCTTTGCTTGTGTTCCCTCTCTCGCTGTGTCTCTCTCTGTGTCAAATAAATAAATAAAATCTTAAAAAAAAAAAAAGAAAAGAAACTTCAGGAATTAAGGGAGGATTGGGTGATGAGTTCCTCGGGGCTTATTTTTGTCTCCTATATAACCCAATCTGAATGCTACAGCAGACTGTGACTCAGAACTGCCAAGGTTGGAGTAAAAAAAGAAAACAGAAAAAAAGGTCCCAACTAACCAGCAGGGGCTG